ATTCCAGCTCTGCTCCCCACACCTGCTCCTTGGAGCAGGAGGAAGGACACAGACAAGGGCTGGCTGTGCTGTCTCCTCCATCTGCAGCTCAAAAATAGCATGTTTGTGTGCACACTGCTCCTGGGACTGATCTAAACACACTCTCCTTAAGGCCCCTCTCCAGAGTCTCCCCATAAGCTGCCAGTTCATCACTGAGAAGGAGGAGGACAATTTCTTCCCCACGGTGCACGAGCTGCTTTCTCAGCAGCCCAAGCAGCAGTTGTGGTTCTTTGCTGGTTGTGGTTCTGTGGGCAGCAATATGAAAGGTAACCCAGCAATGCCAGCCTGTGCTGCCAGGCCTTCTTGCCAAACACAGGCAGCTGTTTTGTCTCCACTTCTTCCCACTCCAGCATAAAGAAGTACAATTAAGGTTAAAAAAAAAAATGTTACAAGTGCTCCAGGTGAAGTGCCTGTATTCAGCCAGCTCTGCCCATGGTGCTCTGACCTTCAGGAAGAGGAGGCAGAGGCACAAAGTCCCATCTACACACGTGTCAGTCACACAGGTCACAGTGTCTCGCTCCAGGTGCTACCCAGCATCACTCTGATGGATCTAAAGGTCTTGCTTTTTCACTGCTATAATTTACTGACATCAGAAAATGCCAGATTCACAACAGGAAGGCTGTAAGGCTGCAATCTCTGATGGGGACACAGCTCCCACAGCATTTCAGTCACACTCAGTTCTTCAGCAGGGCTTTCCACTCACCAGCATGAGAGAGGAGTGGGTGATGCTGTAGCCCTCTCCTAAATGAGGGAGCAGCAGAAATACCCATTCCAGCTCCACGCACTGAGCTGAGCTTGTCTGTGGCACAGACATGGCCTCTTTTTCCTGAGAATGCATGGAAATCTTACTGCTGGATCAGGAGGGACTCACAAAGCAGCTTGTAGCTGGCTGGCTCTCAGCAGCCTAAGAAGTGGGATCTGAGCAGGTATGTCTTTCTTACCTCCCACACTCCTCTCTCTCTGACACAGATGCAGCTAGCTGCCCTCCTCCCATGGAAACCTGCTGCTTCTGGAATCGGATTAATTAGCACTGCTATTTCATCTTCTCAGGATCAGTGAGAAATCTGGAAGCAGAGGTGTAAAAACCCAGAAGCTGAAGAGCCTCTAGTGCCATGGCTCACTGCTCCAGAGCAGGACCTGGGCAAGCACAAGGTTTTTCAGAACAGAAGGAAAACTTCCTGAGGGGAAGGGGAGGATGTGGAGAGGAGACAAGCTGCCTCAATGTCTGTCGGCAGATCCCCTGCCAGTACAAGGACTTAAAGCTCACTGCCAGCTGCACCAGCCATGCAGAAACTCGCATTAAATGTGCCCACAGCTCAATGAGCACAGCCCGCAGACCATTAGCAGAGGAGGGGGCAGGGTCTCAGAATAAGCAAACAGCCTTTAATGACACATTTGTCTCAGGGAGAGTCCAGGGTGCTTCCCAGCACAGACAAGAGACACCTCGAGCTGGTTCCTGTTAGTCCCTGTGCAAGGGGGGGAAATGTTGCTGGCAGCAGCTCCCAGAAGCTGCCAGTGCAGCCCTGTCTCCAGGATGCAGGTTTAGGCCACCAGGCTGAGCTGAGACAGCAGCCATGTCCCTTCTCTCCCTTCTTCTCCGCCCTCCCAGCACAGACCCAGAGGTCTGTGATCTGAAGCAGTTCAGAAAGAGGCAGAGATCACCCCTGTCCCTGTTGCTCCTTTGCCACCAAAGGTGCAGGGATTCACAGCCATGGGAGCTGCAGGAGCTCAGCTCATGAGTGGCAGTCATCCAACCCAAAGGGACAAGGGACTGCCACCTGGCAAAGGATCAAAGCGTTTCAGGCAATTGTTCCCAGTTCCTTACTGCATCCCACACTTCCAGCCAGGCTTCACAGGCTGAGATGCTACTTGTGTTAACTGTTAGGACCAAGTCCTGCAGTTAAAACACACACAAAAAAAGAAGAAAACGTTTGTGGCTCTACTATTAGTTTTTCCAGCTTTCCCGGGGCAAATCACATCATCTGCTCTGAATTGCTCTCATATTCTGGAGTCTGAAACCCTATCTTCCATCCTTTCACAACATGCCTTGTTCCAAAGCCTCCTGGGATTCCCCTCCACAAGCAAATGCAGGCTATTTTTGCACAGACATTTGTAAATTGATTTTCAAAGCGACTCACTCCACTGCCCTATGCTGACGTGGAACTGTGTCTGGCCCTCTGGAAACCAGACTGTTGGCTGAGTAAGGAAGCAGACTCCCTGCAGGCACTTCCCAAATCAGCCAGAGGAATGGAAATGCAAACAGTACCAGAATCAGCAGCATAACAGAATAGAAGGGCATGTAGGCAGGTGGTGCACACGCAGGAATGAATTTAGCTGCGTGTGTGCCAAGATTTGGATCCAGAAGGACTGACCTCCCCCACAACACACCAGAAATACAAGAAACTGCAAGAGGTCTGTAAAGGAAATGTCATCCAAATCTAATCTGTCTCTGCTACTCACAGTAGAGCTCTCTGTTATTGGCATCTAAATAAGGTCAGCTGCTTTCCTGTGCCACTTACACACAAACCCATGCTATGAACTCTGCAGTTACTGCAAGGAAACCTGCACCAAGGAACTGGTTCCACACAGCGGATTCACAGGAATGAAGGTTCTTTTCTTTGGCTTAAGCGGTGCCACAGGGGATGAAACATTTACCTGCAGATACATCTTGTTTCTTAGTTGTCATAGGCTGATGTTTTATAGCTGCCTATGATGCTGCAGCGTTTCTGCCACGCTCTGTGCACAAGACACCAGTGACAGCAGTGAATGGACCCCAGCCCAGCCCAGCCCAGCCCAGCCCACTGCTCAGCTGCCACTTGCTGCCTGTCAGAGCCCTGTGTGAAGTGACAGGGCTGAGATGCAGGGGTTAGGATTGGGAGGAAGAGAAGGGATGGCCTTGCAAGTACAATTCAGTTTGGCTGTGGAAGGAAATGGCTTGCAGCACACACATCGGGCTGTGAGACACTCCGTTTGGAAGCACATCCACGGATTTGACACTCGGGTGAGTCCAAGGCACTGGCAGGTGCTCTGTGGGTCCTGAAGAAGCACAGCTTGCAATGCCCAGAGTTTGGAAATGGCAGCTGTTGGCAGGAAGTTCCAGAAGGAGCAGCTTTCTCCATGGCCCGAGCTTTGCAGTACAATAGATTTAACTTTCAAAACAAGCAGTTGTCTATATTGTCCAGACTCCCAACCCTCAGTTTAGACAGAGCCTGCTGTTTTATTGAGGCACTTTCATGCCCTTGTGGGACTGCCCACCTTCCCATTTCAACTCAGCCATAAAAATTGGCCTGGAGATTAAACCTGCTGCCTGAGTTGTTCACTGGAGAGCAAGTGGGAGGGTGTGCGAGGGGAGAGGTGGAAGGAAAGAGGCAGCAGTGGAAATATGAAGACAGAGGATTTGGCCAGGTTTGATTTACAAGCAGGAGCCAGGGTTGCTTTGGGAACATCTCAGACATATTTAAAATGCCCTGTTGGGCTCTAGTTCAAACCTGAGTTTGCAGCCCCATCTTCTGCAGGATTTCATTTGCCTTGTTAAAAGGAGGAACAAAGAGAAGTGGTTGGATTCAGGGAATCAAGTGTGCTGCATGTTCAGCAGTACCCCAAGCAGTAGAAAGGATTAGGTGCTGTTTTGTGGGGGTTTTTTTTCCAAATTGTCTCCACAGACCTTAATAAGCACTCAAAAGGAGTTTATTCTCAGCTCCTGGGTGTAACATAGAGCCAAGAAACCAGTCAACATATAGCACATCCCTTTAGGAGCAAAGAGCACTTTGTGCATCATATATGAGAAACTGCATAAACCCTTTGCAAACACCTATCAGATCCAATTTCCTGTTCCTCTAGGGAAATAGATAGGATTATATGCAAGTTCACAAATGAATTAAGCAGGATTCCACAGTCTAGCTCCAGCTCTGCTGAAATTCAGCCATTACTTTTGCTGACTTTAACAGAAGCTAAATACAGACCAAGCAAGCTACAGCTAATGTTGTTCAGCTTTACCTGCCATTTGGGGAGCAGCAGTGGTACCCTACAACTGCAGTTAACAGTGACACAGAGACTCTGTGTCCTGCTACCCAACCTCAGACAGCCAAGTGAGCTCAGAGATCTCTCAGAACCCTCCTCTGTGTTCGAGTCAAAGAAATTTCTGCTATGCAAAAATGAGATGGGAAGAAAGTCTGTGGCAGCATCAGACAGGATGCCCTGAAGCCCAAACAAGCTCATCCGTGTAGTTATCTCAGCAGGTGGATCCCGGGTTAACATTCCCAGCAACAAATCCAAAGTGACTTCCCTGCCGTGACTGAGTGAGATTACAGCTGCAGAACCAGGCCCCAGGAGCAACAGCACCTACAGCCTGGAGTCCAGGCAAAAAAATGATGCTCACCCCTGACTCTCCCCCCATAAAGCAGCAGAGAGTCAAGGCCAGCAGCAGTTTAAGAACCAGACGACTGCCAGTATGTCTTTCCCCCCCTGCAAACACATTGGCCTCTCCCCCTTCTCCACTATTTATGTTACATGAACTGCCTTCTATTCAGGAGGAGCTGTTCTCTATTAACAGAGCTTGGCAAAGATCAGGAATCAACTGTGCCAACTTTCAAGCCTGCTGCCTTAAGGCAGATGGCAGGGAAAGTATCCCAGCCTTGTTCCCCAAACCTCTTCTCCCAGCAAGCAGAGATAACTCAAAAACAGGAAAAAAGGGTCAGACATCTGCGAAGCCCTAATTTCAGTGCAGGAGACAGCCTGTGTGTGGGGTGCCCTGCTCTGCCATGGCTGTGCTTGTCACCCCACGGGCAAGCAAAGCCTGTGGCACCATCAGGATCCTCAGGCTCAGAGCAAGGGCACAGATTTCACTGGAATTTTTATACTTCCGGAGTTACAACAAGAAAGAGGAGATGCTCTGCCTCCCTCCAAGATGCTGCTATCATGAAAGGAAATCAGCACTGCTAATGACTGGTGCTGAACTGTACCTTTATGGGAAAGTAAATCCCTCTGGAGCAGCTGGAAGGACAGGATTCCCAGTTACTGCAGACCTGCAACGAAAAGCAAGAGCTGTGGTTGCAGAGCATCCTCTGCTTCCCACCAGCAGGACACAGCTGCTCTGCCATCCCCACCACTGCAGGTCCCCCAGGAGCAGTTCCAGTGCCTGGGGAACATTCACCCCATGAAGGTGGATCACACTCAGGCACTGGCAGGAACAGGCACAGTTGGACTCCTGAGCTGTGAAGAGCTGAGTGTCCAGTTCTGGTGGAATCCGTATCACAGGCAGTTGCCTTGTTCTTGCAGAATAAGGCACCATCCCCAGCTCTGAGCAACCAAAATCAAGCCTTTGAAGCTTGCTTTGCCAGCCTTTTTGTGTCTGTATTTCCTCCCGTTAGTGGTGTGGCACTCCAGTTATTAATATTTTCTGGTTTTCAGTACCATGAAAGCATGACTCAATAGCAGTGCTGAGACCTCAGAAAGCTTCCCCCAGGTGCTGCAGAGGATGGTTAACGACAGTATGACAGGCAAGAGGGTCATAAATAACATTCTGCTGGGTGCTAATTCAGACAGTTGTTGTAGCTCACTGCCATCAATGGGACAATTTACAAACTCACACATAGTTAAGTGTTGCTGAAACATATCCTGGACTGGGGTCAATGGAAAGTGTCTTGCTGACTTCACCTAGAGCTGGATTAAGCACTTAACTCTTACATTGTCTCCTCCATATTCCTGAATTATTCATTGAGGGCCAGACACTGCAATCCATACACTGCACTTAATCTGTCCTTTAAATTGACTTGCATTAGTCTGAGTCACAGGCACCACAGCACCTTCCTCCTTAACAGTCTCACTGAATGCAGCAGAGCTATTCATGAAATAAGGTGCTGCTCTGCAAGGAGGCAGATCCAGCTCTCAGCAAAGGCATCAGTAAGGAGAGAACTGAGAGAAAATTCACCCTGGTAAAGCTGCATCGAGATGTCTGAACTCAAGTAAATCTGTGTGAAATCAATCATTTAAAGAGATAACCTGTTCTGTGGTATTGCAGGGGAGAGACTAAGGGAGTTCTAGAAACTAATATTTCATTGTTCAACTTCATCAATGTCTGGAAACACATTCCACTGCCCCTGGCCCCACATTCACAGAGCCTTGTGAGGGCTGCTTTGTCCCTCCAGAGAGAAACAGCGAGGTGTGTGGAAAGGAAGAAGGCAAAGGATTTGTTCTGCTCCTCCTGACGGGCACAAAAGGAATAAAAAGTGAACAGGACTGCTGCCACCGAGGAGGTAACAAGTACCCACATTTACCAGCAACTCCCTCCTCTGCCAAGCTCACAGCTCCCACTAACCAAGCTCCCAGACCACACTACTGGCTCTGATCCTGAAATCCCCTCAGGCTGCTCAAACAGCAGATAAACTCTCATCACAGCAGAGCCGATTAGCTGTGCCTTTCACCACTGAGCCCAAACCTATAGTCTGATACCTCTGTACAAACAATGGATCAGGAAATAAATAAGCCAATCAGGTAAGCAAAGGGAGAAATCTTGTGCACTACATTGAGGAATATATAAGGGGGTTTGATTTTTTAAAAAGGAATTTATCTGTTCAGTTCTCATTTATGTCAGTTCTTGATAAGATTAGAGGATTAAACCAACTGAATGCTAAATGCTCTGTGCTGGAGAGAGTCCTGCTGAGATTTACTGCATGTTGGCATGTACAGAGACCACACAGCATCACCCAGAGACCCTGGGACTCGCAGAAGGACCCGTTCAAACTTCTGAAATAAAAATCAGAGCTTATCCAGACTTTCCATATGCCGCCAGGGTACGAACTCCTATCCCTCTCCAGTTTCACTCAAGCTTGCTTATTAAGTACTTGTACCCAACAGGCAAGTCTTTGTATAAGCAGCACTTATCTCGGAGCACTGGCATCACAAGAGGATTTCAGATGTGCTGTGGCTTTTTGGATGCAAAATGTTAACACCGTGTGCATCCCTCCCCCAGTGCCAAACCGAAGCACACACATCCTGTCACCCTCCTGCTGTTACATGCACACACCCCACAGCTACCCCCATAAACTCCTGCACAACACAGCTTGTTAAAAACACAACTGACAGGTTCTTAAAGGAGTCAAAGTTCTCCTGTAACTTCACCGCTTCTTCTATTGGCCTGACAAACACATTTGTGATGTTTAGTTCGTTAATTCTGAAAAAGCACAAGATCTTGGGAGATGCAGCCAAGGACATGCCCCCCCCCAAGGGGGGTAAGGAAGGAGCAAAGGGCTTAAAAAAAAAAATTGAGAGAATTTTTAGCACCTAGCAAACACATTCTCCCCAAACACCTGAAAACTGACAGCAATTTCACCGCTGTGAACTCCCTCATTCCTGTGCCCCAAATTATAGTCGGATATTGTCACCTTGGCTCCCTACCAGTGCCCCACTCTGTGGTAAGGAGACCACGCACCACAAGGGTGTTTGTCAATATAGCTAAAAACACCAGACTATAGCCAGTGAGAGAAATCTAGTTAGAGTATCAGTGACTTCAGCTGGTGTTTGGGGTTGTGGTTTGGGTTTTTTCCTGCCCCTGAGGAGGAATTTGCCCTGAACGTTGCAGAAACTGAATCACTCTTCGCCACTGTGGGCGACTGGAACGGTGCTGATGCTACTTCCCAAATGCCAGTCTGGCTCTCACATATTACACTGTTACACATTGCTCTGGGCCATTTGTCCCCTTTTCCCCTTGTGCCTCGAGGTGAAACGGTCACAAGTGCTGATGGGTAGTTTCCCCTTGAATCATTTTCCTATCAGACAAGCATTCTCCTTCCATACAGGAGTATCTTCCCCATGGGAATACAGCAGGTATTCATAGGGGCAGCAGGAAGAAAGGAGGAATGGATCTTTTATCATATTAAGCATTTCCATTCCATCTTTATTGTCTTTTCTGTAGCTCAGGTCTGTTTTATTCCAGGCTTAGGGAATCACACTATAAGGCTCCAAGGGGTAAAGAGGCTGTCTTGATGAGTCTAACCTCTGAAGATGCATCCAGGATGATAAAAGAAGTGTAGCTATTGAAACATCTCCCTTCAATACAGTTATTGTGTTGCTAGGTTTCCATCTAGACACGCAGCCTAAAAGAGCAATCAAAGGAAGCTGATGCTGTGGATAATATCTTTATCAACACTTCACAAGGTTGTTGGGGAGGAAGAGGGGAAAAATATTGTCCCCGAGCAAAGTTGTTCCGATGAGAATAGACAACTAGTTTCAAAAGCTCGCCCAAATTTTCATGGGAAAATTGTTTTTTAAAAAAACTGAGCTCTTAGGGCAGTAGATTTTATGTGTATCAGCATGTGGCTTTGTGAGCAAGAAGTCTGTGTGTTTATTCCGTCATTTGAATTGTAAAAGTACTTCCCTTTCAACACACAAGTCCTCACCCCACTTAACTAAAGCCTGTCTTGCAGCAGCAGACGAGGGCAAGCATCAGCCTTGTTTTTAGAGGAACTTATTTGTTGCATATTACATTAAATCCCAACAGACTCTGCACTGCTGTCAAAATACTATCCTAATAATTGCATGAGGGAAGGTTGCTAACCAGCACACTGCTATGCCTGTGCACAAAACAAAGGCTCAAGTGACACAGGATGCAGCAGCGAGGCAGATCCCCGAGGGACCGGCCACCTCCAGCTCACTCCGCCTGTCCCAAAGTTTTTCAGTTCTATTCAGCTTCTGCCCCCTCAAGTGCTTTTAAACACCCGGGCAGTAGCAAACAGCCCCACACTCTTTTGGTTTGGTCATCTCATCACCAAATCGGAGAGAACAGAAAAGAGTTCATTTTCTCCAGGAGTCCGGGTGTTTTGCTGTCACGTCCTTGGAGACCACCTGGAACAGCGAGGGCCCAGGGCCAGGCTGCACTCGGGACTGTTGCTAAGCAATGTAATGTCCTTATTAAGTGGCATGAGGTTTTTAGGCAGGAAAAGTCCGTTTCTACAAAAGCCAGTATAAAACAGAAAGGTTACCTTACGTGTGCCAGGTATGCTCTTTACAGCTTTTGGACCAGCACCGGACACCAGCTGCTGTCATAGACGAGGATCCCTCCTGGCTGGACCTGCTGCCATCCCTGAGCGTGGCGAGCGCTCCGCTGGCTCTGCTCCTCCTCAGGGAGGCCGGCCAAGCCTCCGTGGAGCCGGGGACACAAAGCTGCTCAGTTCTGGCGCCCAACTTTTCCCCCAGGAGAACAGCCCTGCTGCAGGCGCAGCTCAATCAGCTCATTATAGAGGCAGCCTCCCGAGAAACGCTCTCCCTGTGCATATTCATGAACTCTCCAGAGCTTCCAGGGAGAGTTGGCTAAACACACAACTGAGGGATTTAGCTGTTGGATTCCCAGAAAAAAAAAAAAAAAAAGGGGGGGGGAGAAGGAAAGGAGGGCGAGGAAGGAGCAAAGGGTTAAAAAAAAAAAAAGTGACTAGCGGAGCGACTGCAGCGGTGCTGCCCTAAGCACCGCGGGACCCAGGAGCCCGACCGACCCCTGCGTCACCTCCCGAGCGCTGAGGGCCGGTGGCGGGCACCGAGGAGACGGTGTCACGGGAGACGGCTGTGCCCACAGACCCCCAAAACACAACCCCCTTCTATCACACCACTCCGGGCACCGCGAAGCCGCATCACTACACCTCGCGCCGGCCGGCGGAGCAGCCGAAGGCTCGCAAGCAGATGGACCGGGCCGCACAGCGGTCCCGACGGCTATTCTATTTCACAGGGCATAGACGATAGCCAGGAGCCGGACACAAGTCGGACAGGATACCCCCGGGGCACGCCAGACCACGATCCAGGAGCGCGATAACCAACCGGGAGCCAGGCGTACCACACGGAGAGAGATGCGGGCCGCACCAGCCGTGAATCCCGCGGCACCGGGGCAGAGCGGTACCAGAGCTCTGCAGCGTCACCAGGGCCGCAGCGGCGACGGCTCGCGAGTCCCGGTCCCCGCAGCCCTCCCCGGCACCCGCGCCCGCCTTTTAACGTCCGCTCGCCGAGCGGCTCGCGCGCCGCTGCTGGCAACGGCCCGTCCCGCCCGCGCCACCCGGGCGCGGCCGAGACAGCCCCTCACGCGCGTGCCGCGGGATGCGGAGCGGCAGGATGAGGGAGCGGGAGGGATGAGGAGGCGGAGGGATAGAGGAGCGGAGGATGAGCGCACCGGAGGGGTGTGGCGGAGCAGAGAGGGGGGTCGTAGAGCTCGGGGCTGCGCCAGCCCGCCCGGCTGCGGGCGCAGCTGCGGCCGCGCAGGATAAAACCGACGCGCCATCATAGAAAACGCCGTGCCCCGTAGGCGGCCCCCGCCACCCGGCCCCAGGTGCGGCGGCGCCGGACGGGCAAGCCCCCGAGTGGGGAGAAAGGGCAGCCCCCGTGCGGAAAGGCAGCCCCCGTGGGGAAGGTCAGCCCGCCGTGGAAGGGCCAGCTCCGCGGCGGGCTTCGGTCCCGCCGCCGCCGGGCACGGCGCTTGGAACGGCCCCCGGTGCCCGCCACGGCCCCCGCGCCCGCCACACGGGCCCATCCCGGGACTGCCCTGCCCGCCCGCGCAGGGAGCGCTGGGTTTGCGGGCTGCCGTTTGGAGAGGGATGGGGGTGCCCCGTGTGACAAGCGTGGGAGTGTCCCGGCTCTGCCACCACGCCGGGACCGGGCGCGTCTTGGGACAGAAACCGCCAGAAACTTTCGCAGCACCTGGCTGGTACTGCGGGTGCAGCCCCTGTTAGAGCCGGGGCTCTGAGAAGGACTCATCAGGTATTCGCTGGTACCCTCACCACTAGATAAGTGCTCTATACAGGAGACATCTCTATGCGTTCAGTTGCAGAGGTATGCGGCAACAACCCCTGAATTAAGTAGGAGTCGTTAAATGAGAGGTAGCAAGACGTGTTAATTAGGGTGGTACAGACAATCTTTTATACATTCATGCTTGCCCCTCGTGCAGCAAGGCATTCTGCACAGCTGGTCATCGAGCTTGCCTTGCCCTTGCCTGGGCTTTCAGGAGGGACGTCTCTGATAAAGACATCCCTGAGTACAGGGGCTTTACTTAGTGTAGACAGACGGTCTCTTAATTAGTGTGCTGGATACAACGGTCTTGCATTCATTTATTGTGTGCTCTCCTGTGACTCACTCTGGCTTTGGAGGCAGGAAGAGAAAACATTCCCCCCATCCTTGGCCTATTTACCAGGGTGACCACTTACTATGATGTGGACTTCTGCAAGAGCAGGATTGTTGCTAAACAACTACCTGGTGGGAATGGCTTTTAATCAGGCTGCATTATGGAGTTAATGTAGCCTAAGCTACATTCTTTGTCCTATATTCTCATTTATTTGACTGTTGATGGTTATTGCTTATGAAAAATATCCCTCATCCCAGTTTTCAGATGGATTTGTCAAGTCAATAAGAAAGAGAAAGCACAATAAAACAGGCCCATCACCTGAGAGTGTCTGTAGGCAGGCAACTGTGTCAAAGGCACAGCAGCTCTCTCTGATGCATCACTCAAAGAGAACAGGAAGCCAGGCAGACAAAGCCAGACCATCATCTTCCTTGTGGGGCTCCAAGGAATGCAAATTTAATGAGGCTCCTGAAGTAAAGCTGCATTCCACCGGCTTTCACCACGCCTGCCAGTGATGGAGGTCTCTGCAGAGAAGGTAATGGTGAGGGGTTAGCAATTCTGTTGAAAACTGCAGCATACAGTAAAGGGAAAAATTGCTTTTTCTAACTTTGCTGGTGTTGGGAGCGAAGCCCACGCTGATGTGAGGGACAGTGCTCAATCAATCACTCAGCAGAGCCCAGCAAACTGCAGGAGTTATCACCAGCGCTGATACAAGCACTCAGACAGTGACAGGATTCTCCTCAGCAGCGATTCTGACAGCCCTCCAGGCGCAGACAGGCAGACAGACAGACAAACAGACACACACACACACACCCTGGGAGCCCCCCAGTCGCCTCCTTGCACAGAGGGGGGCAAACAGCACGCAGGGGCAAACAGACACACAGTGCTGCTGCCACAACTGCTCCCAGACGAGCTGCTCCCATCCCTTCTCTGCACACACAAGTACATCAACCTGACAGCTTCGGCTTTTAAAACTTGTACATGGTTTTCCTTCACCTCCCTTCACACACACCCCGCAGAGCTGCATTAGCCCGCAGCTGAACTAGAATTTTCTCTTGCTGTGTTGGCACCTACAATATATACATGAAGAACATGCCTTTCCCTGTCAACACAGAGATGCTCAGACTGCCACATTCAGCACTAAATATCCCTCCATGAACACACAGGGGTCTGCACAGCACTCAGAAAGCTCTGTAAAGGGATACTCACCTGGATGGGAAGGGGTAACTGCTCCATGGCAACTTCTATGATTTCAGTCTCCTTTCATTCTGCATTGGAAAGAAATAAAACATTTCAAATATTTGGGAATGGGAGAGGCAGGATGGTGCCCAGGGGAGATCTTCATACATGGCTTAACATTTTCTTCCATGCCCCTCTGTGCTCAGAGAGCATCAGCCCCTGACTGCTATGACTTCCCTCCCTGAGGCCTCACAAAAGTGTGCAACCACACAGCATGTGCTGCCAAAAGGAAGACATAGTTCATTACTAGTTTAAATCAGCAACACTGAGCATGTTTTACTCAGATACAAGTTAGAACTGTCTGTATGAGCAGCACATAAACACAAACTGTATCCAGGTGTACCTGTATTACTTGCACAGACCTGTACACAGAGGTTTCAGTGTGTTACTGCAGACTCCACTAGCAATGCAAATGCATCCACAAGGAATTAGCATTATTGGTGGCTTTTATCAGCAGTGCACGTGCCCAGGCAAACAGCACAGAGGCTGAGGGGTGCACACTGCTGTCCTCAGCCACACAGGTACAAACACACGTGTGACACCAACAGACATCAGCACTGTACTGCAGCCTCGGGGAGCAGCTGCACATCCACAAATGCCGGGCCACAGGCGCTGAGGCACAGTCACAGGCAGGCTGGAAAAGGATTGCTGCTCTCCCTAAAGCCATTCCTGGCTAAAGGATGCCTTTTGGAGCTGGGAAGCTGAATGAAAACTCCTTCCCCTTTATTCATGTCCTCACAGCCTCAGCAGGACTGCCTGCCACACCAAACCCAGGCTCCGTCGCCATTCCACTCGCTTGTATTTATGGCCCCTCTTTGAAATTCTGACTGCTCATCTATGCAGAATAAAACTACCCAAGCAATCCTTCCTGTCCAGGTGCTCATTACTAAAGTGTTAAATTATGCCAGGAAGGCTCTCTTAGGCCTTGTAAATTTTATCTGGGAGACTTTCAGCTTCCACAAGGTCTATTATTGCCTGATTGCCTGAAAGGCTTTTGAGTTTGTCCCAGTCAGCCACAGTGAGGGCTGGGCAAGAGCTGAGCACTGAGCTCCTGTCAAACACCATGGCTTGGGGTGGAGAAATGCCTCCACGTGAGTGTGTCTGGATGAGCACATGCAGAGTCTGTCAGCACAGCCCTGGAGCGCACACAGGGCTACCAGGATTTGTGTACATGGATATGAGCCTGTGCTTGGCATTAGAAGAGTCTGGATCGAAGGGTGACGCTGTCCATGAGTGACTGTGGGTGCAAGGAAAAGGGCCAAGGACCTGTGTCTGTGGGCCTGATCTCAGCCAGGGCTCAAAGGAAGGCTGAACACACCAGTAAGCTTAATAAAGTAGAGAGAAAATAATGGAGAAACCCAGGAAGAAAGGGCAATAGCCCCCAAAGCCAGAGAGGTTTTTTATCAACTGCCAGCAAAATGTCCCAGGAGAATCTGCAGGTACGTCCAACACCCCTCAGCTCCCAGGGGCAATCCCTATAGGATGCTGAGCTGCAGATAAAGCATATTTTCATATTAAAAGAATGGGGAGTGGGGACAAAATTATCTGTAGAGAAACTTCCCTCAGCCTTTTTGAAGTTGTGCTCTTTTTTCCTCAGTGTCTTCCTGTCAGAGAACTGAGACCTTTTCTCCTTATCTTTCCTAACCCAAACATCCTGTTTGACAGAACAGCATGGAGAGGGATATTTCCTATCTGTCCATAAAACTAACAGAGCCATATCACAAGCTATTTCTATGTGTTGTGTGTTTATAAACCTCAGCCCTGCCCTGACCAAGCAAAATAGCTTCTAGTTACCACTGATTCGGGCCTGAATTCAAATTGCCAGCCTATTATTCCTTACTCAAAAATTATGTTAAACATTTCCCAGATGCAGAAACAATCGCTTCCCCAAAGAGCAAGAGGTGAAGGCACGCAGCCAGCCAGCCCCCTCTTTTATTGGA